GTCAGGCGCAGGCGCAGGCGCGCGCGGCCGGTCCCCGTCAGGGCGCGGTGACGTGTCGGCGCCACCGCCCGGCCCGGGACGGGGCGGGGCGGGACCGGCGGTACCGACCCGGCCGCGGCCCCGCAGCCCCGTAGCCCCGCCATGTTCAACGTGGAGAGCCTGGAGCGCGCCGAGCTCGGCGAGAGCCTGCTCACCTGGGTGAGTGCGCGCTGCCCGCCCTCACGGAGATGGGCCGCACCGCAGGGCCGCAGCGCCGGGCGCCCCCCGCCCCGCCGCGGCTCCGCTCCGGCGGTTRGAGGCCCCGCATCCGTCACCGCGTTCGGGTCGGGGTCGGCGGAGCCTCGGCGGACCGGCCTTGCCTTGTTGATGTCTTATTTTGTGCTCCGCGGGTGCCGGTGGTAGGGCCCTGCTCAGGCTCAGCGCTGCCCCTGCGGCGGCGGAACAAAGGGCCGGGGGGCCGGCGCGGGAGCGCCCCCAGGTGCGCCCGAGCTGGGCGGGTGAGCTGCAGGCCGTGGCTCTGGTCCTTGCTCCTCTTGTGCCGTCGGTATGTCAGTGTCCCGCTGTTCGGACCCGCCCGCCGCTCTCTGACCAGCAAGGCCGGGTTTCTGATTAGAAACTTGCATTTCCGCCTGTTTGTTTTTCTGTATTTAAGCGGTGCTTGAGTCTCGAGAGACAGAATTCACCGATGAGGTCGAGTATGTTACAGTATCAACTTAAGAGGTGATACATTTATCTCTGGTGGTGTTCAAGGCCAGGTTGGATGGGGCTCTGAGCAGCCTGGTCTAGCTGAAGGTGTATCTGCTGATGGCCGGGGGCTTGGAACCGGATGGTCTTCAAGGTTCTTTTCCAGCCCAAACCGTTCTATGATTCTACGATCTTACAATAAGAAGTTACACAATTTTAATGTTTGCAGTTTATTTAAGAAATGTCTTTAGGTTATGCTGTCACTCAAAGAGCAGCCAGAATGTGGTGGACATTAAACCTGGGTTTGCAGCTTCTTTGTAGTCTGAGCAATGACTGTAACATAAAAACAGGTGTGAAACTTGTGGTTCTGTAGCAGCTAAGTTATTGCTTAATTGTTTCAAATCACTGGATTTGGGTTGGGGGTTGGTTTGAGGTATTTTCCCCTTTTATATGCAAAGTTATGAAGTAAATACCTAGAATATGAAGCTGCAATACAGCTGCTTGTTGAAGAGAGACAAAAATTTTCAGACTTTTTTTCTATGAGAGGCCAGAGCTGACTGAAGCTCTGATGGTAATGAGTAAATTCCTGGGGAATAACAGGTTAGGTTTCTCTATGAAACTCAAAAAGGATGAGCAAGGGAGACGAACTTGTTGTTTGAGGTGAGCAAATGGCCTGGAAAGTATAGAAGGCAAAGACTTTGGGGAAGAGGTTTTTGGGGAAAAGCTTTGTGTAGGTCTAGAGTAAGTAACCCAGTTTCTCTTTCCTTCACATTACTGCCAGCTTTGTTATGGTTGGCCACTTGTCTTGCTTTTGGCTTTCCATGCTTTCTCTTTCAGGTATGGGGAATGAAGTGTCCCTACACGTGCAAGTTGATGTGTTTTAGTACTGGTGAAGAAAAGCTGAGTGAGCAGCTCAGTCTTTATAACCTGAAGTCCTGAAGCTGTACCTATCCAGTGGAGCCTAGTCCTGTCTGTAGTAATGGTCTGCATAGATCCATTTACACCTCTCACCTTTGCACCACCTCAGATATTGAGCTAATTAAGAGACTAGGTCCATCTTTTTTGGTTAGCAGAAATAGTAAATCCTCTTAAACATCATTAGGATTGGTCAACTTGATTCTGAGATGAATGTATGAGGTTATGGGTTATTTTTACAGTATCATCATTTTTGTGTGAATGAGGCTTTGAAACAGACTCAGAAAAAAAAGAAAGAAAGAAGAAGGGTGATTTCAGTTTTTTTTCCAGGATACATGAAACTTACAGAAGAGGCAATGAAATTTTTTGTTCCTCAGTGAAACTGAGTGTGTATAAAGARGGTGCTTTTTTTGCTTGGCTTTCTCTCATGTCCCATAATGATACATGGGAAACCGTTCATTTAGATAGGAGAGTAAAGCTGTCTTAATAACAGTTTATGCACATCTGGGAAGAGAAGCTGGCTGCTCTTTAGAACTGGTTTAGCCTCCCAGGTTGCTTGCTTAACATTCATAYAGAAGTACTTAGACTGGTTTGTCTGCGTTTTGAATAGATAAGGCTTTCTGCAAGTCTGAGAACCTGTTTGGCCTAWACTGAATGTTTGTGCAGGTGGATACAGGGTGAGAAGAAAGTGCTCCTCCCTATGCCAATTTGTGATTTTAATGAAGGATARTATCACTCAGGCTTTTTACTTGCATGCCTGTGATTTCTGTTTAAGCTGGAACAAGCTGCTTGCATCTGAATATGTTTTGGTTTATTTTTTAGTATTTTGCCAATACCCAATTCTGTCATTATGCTTTAGCTTAGGGTGTAATTCTTGTTTATTTTTCACCTCTCTGMCAGTGTCTTCAAATGGGTTCCTAAATAATTTTTGTTCAGGATTTTAAACAGCTGGTTGAGCTTTGGCTTCCCACCACTTTAGCAGGTGACCATGATGTTATTTTGAGACAGCCACAGTAGTGGCAACTTGAGCAAAACCGAGTGAAGAACTGGAGGCCAAGTACTGGCCTCTCAAAATTTATATTTACACTTTAGCAGTGTTTGTRACCTACTGTAATTGTAGAACTATTGCTCTACCAAAAATCTCTTGCAAACCTTTTCTGAGACTATTCTATGCACTATGGGATTGTTATTCAAGATTGTTATTATAACATGCACTTCAGCCAAGGCAGTTTAGAAAAATGTGGTTGTGAGGTAAACCTGCAATAATACTGTAGTTGTTTYGGCATATCTTACAGAGATTGATAACATCTTTTTTTGCTTGAAAGTTAAAAGTGGTCCGCACATGGACACATGGATTTTTGGTGTTTGGTTTGGGGGTTTTTCTATGTGTGTAATGTCAGGAAAGCTCTCAACTTAGATACATAGGTGAGATGTTTCATAGAATATTGAGAGGTGTCAAATGTGCCTGTGCCAGTTACACTGTAATATGTCTGTCTGAAATCATTGTGATGGCTACCAGCTTTTGCTATGTAATTTGAGATGTTTTCTTTTTTTTACATAGAACTAAGATATGATACGGAAAAGGTTGCTTAGTATGGTATGAAAACAGCAGGATTCCACAAAGAGGTTGCTGCTAAGCGGTTGTAAGTAGCAAATTGATGTAGAGATGTCATGAACTTTCCTTCATTATGATAAGTATCTCTATATGTGCTACCTCCACTGAGCTGTGTCTTGCCTACGTTCTTTTCCAATCCTCAAGGCCAAATAAAGTTCCTCTTAAAAGTTTTGTGATTAGAGAGAACTCCGTAAACACTGCAAGCGTCCTGTTTCAGCGTTCTCCATTTTAAATGCACTTTAGTCATTTGTGTGGTATGAGTCCCTTGACCTTTCTCCCTTTTTGGCTGAAAAATCTCCTCAGTACAGTATATCTCTGTCTTCTGTGTCATGTCCTATTCCCAACTGTAAGTATTTGTCTGTGGTACTATGAAATACAGAGACCACGTGACCAAGTGCTGAAACAGATTTTGATTCTCAAGAAGGCTGCTTGTGGATGCTTGGTAGGCACCCTTTTCAAAGAAAATCACATTGCTGGAATTTACTGGAAAGGCTGTTTTTCCCTACTGTCCAGTTATGTTCTTTTTTTAGATTATGCTGTTCTTGATCCTTGTGTATATGCATTTTTAAGTACTCTTCTGATTTCATGTAGATGCCAAGATTGTAGATAACTTGTTAAGCCTGTTTMAATTGCTTCTTCTTCTGGTCCTTGGCCACTGACCACAAAGTTGTAGGGTTTCATATCTTCTGATAATATAATTGCATCAGCATGTGTTACCTCTTGAAAAAAATGGTATTTCAGGGGTGGTTAATTGTGCTGATGATGACAGTGAATCAAGAAAACTATTCTGTTTGAATACATTGCTGTTCAGAAGGCAAAACCCCTGAGCTTATCAGCAATTATGGAATATGGCTTGAGGAGCCTGGCAGGTTACAGTCCCTGTAACTAATGCAAAAGACAAGTAGGTTGATGAACCTTTTTTATATTTTATGACCTCTCACTGGGATAGTAAAGAATTTATTGTTCCAGCTTTTAAAGGGATAGTTGTTTAGAGCTGTGATATTCTGAGTGTAAGATTCACCATGTTTGAGGGAGTTGGAGTCTCTATAACTATTATTGATTAATAGGGATTTTTTTAATGTATTGCCAAGAAGTCAAGCAGAAACAAGAATTTCTCTTCAAGATTTCATTGTAGAGCAAGTGATAGAAAGCTGATAACATAGGAATATGATAATTAAAGGTAATAGGGTACAGTTTGTATGTGTTCCTTGCCATCGCTCCCATTTTTAAGAACCTGAAAAAGACTGAATAGAGAATTTGGAGGTGCAGGCATTATTCATCATGTGTGCATTTTGACACTTAGATTTTCTTTCATTGGGACCTTGTCCCAAATTCTGCTATTTTTTCTGTTTTCTTCTTCCTAAAGAACTGTTCTATACAGTGTACATTTATAGCACCTCCCTGAGGGRAAAAAAACACATTTAGACGTTATTTAGTATGTGCTCAGTTTCAGTTCCCAGTTCTGCCCCCTCATTTTTTGGTGAGGGGTTGCGAGATACTGCTTGGAGAAGAAACAGACTTTGCTGCTAGGAACTGTGAACCTTAGAGAGTGTAAAGGAAACTACTTTCCTGTAAGCTTGTTAATCTCGAAGTGGGAGGTGTGGAGAGAAACCTGTTCCTATCTTCTCTGAAATATTTAAACAGTTGCTTCAAAAAGATGAAGTCAAACTGTGAATTTTGCATCATTATCTATCTTAATTGTGACATTTTGGGGCTCGTAAATTTGAAGATAATATGTCATACTGTTTTTCTTGGACCCTTAGAAATCTTTGCTGCAGTGTGTTTGACTTCTGGAGAGCAATTGCAGATGTTCAAGTTGTGCCTTGGGCCTCTCCTCTCTCCCCTGCTACACAATTGCACTTGCTGTTCTCTGCTTTTMCTGGCTGTCTTGAGTAATGTGGTCGTTTAGAAAGGTTTTGCCTAAATTTGGTTACTTAAGTGCCCTCAGCTTCAGACTSTAAGTCTGGGGTTGTTTAATCAAATT